AGGTGCATTTGTTGCGATGTAGAGTGGTTCATGCCCGCTATTTCTACCCTTTTGCGTGCCCGCACTGGAAAAATTACAGAATGTGGGGGACTTTCCTCAAGATGTGGACGGGGAGGAACCGTCCGGTGAATAAGCTCACCACCATGAACGAAGACGACATCCAATCGGCCGACCTCGTCTCCTTCTGCCGCCCGTACCTCAAGCGCCCGGGTTCTGGTGGCGAGCCGGCTACTACGCCATCAGCCCCCGCAACGCAAGCTCAGAATAGCTCCGGTTGGCAAGTCGACTCGTTGGTATGCCCTTTGAGCAACAAGACGCGACTTTATGCGCCTCAGCAGCAAAACTACTTGATCGCGGGACGGTTAGGGCCTGTTTTGTGTGCGCAAAATCAAAGTGTTGGGCAGAGTGCGGATATATGACCTGGCGATTCTTTGAGCATCACGGGTGGCCAAAGCAGGTTGTATCTGGTGCACAACCTCCCCACAACCTCCCGAGGGTCAGGTAGTAGGCCGACGTACCTATGCAGCTAGCCGCGCATAACGGACTGAGGCTTTGGTCGAAGCCTAGACCAAGGGTTATCTGAGGTCGATTCACAACGTCCCAACCTGATGACCCCCGGGCAGGTTTTGGGCACCAGTTCAACCCTGTTGTTTGGCCCCCCGCGCGATGTTTTCTTTCAAAAGTTGAGATTGTTGAGTATGAAGAGGCGTCCTTTACCAGGTCAACTAAAATCGGCGAGCGACTTGCAACCTTTTCCATGTTTCAAGTTCGGGTGGTCGTTGTTGCGTTCTTTTTCTGGTCGTTCCCTGCTTAGTACCGCTATATAGCTATACTGTGTAACCCAGCGTCTAAGTTGTTTTATCGACATCCTTGCCGCGGGCGCCCTCTTTCCGTTGTTCTCGACCTCTCGACAGGTTCTTCTGCTGGGGACGATTCCCAATCCGTCCCGGAAACAGCAGGCGCAATGGGGTCGTCGACGCCTTGAGGGCGGAACCAGCCCCCACAAAGGAGAACGACCTCTTCCGATTTGCCCCCCCCATCGAGGCCTCGATTTCGACGGGTGCAGAGAGCACAATGCGCGTGCCACCGGCTTTCGGTGATATCGGGTGTATCGGGTGTGGCGACCACACCCTCTTGCATCGCATTGTTTGGATTGCCGCTGAATGATGCGTTTTGAGTGAGTTGAGATATCCTTCTCGCGTTTTTTTATTTCGTGTGGCTAATTTTTACGGTAGGACTACATAGAGTACAGTTCAAATCTGTGGTTTGTGGAGGCGCTTTGGATTTTTTGGGAACAGGGGATACATGCGGCGGACGCGACAGTCAGAACGTTTTGGTGAACAGCAGGGGAGAGGGTCTGTAGCAAAGAGGCATATGGAAGAGAGAGAGATTGACACAGGCTGCATTAATTGTGTTCCTATCAACACAGAGCAGGAAGAGCATACCGGTTAGGACCTTTGATCGTAATTTGCACAGTGGATGAGCAAAACCCACGCTAAATTGTTTTCTGCGGCGCTATATACATTTCTTCCACTGTCGTCATGTAGTATACGGAGTACCCTTGCCGGGTATGCGTAGGCGTCGCGGATTGTTTTTCGAGTGATACGTACATGGCCGGCCGTGTACTGTCCGTGTGAACGTGTGTGTTCTACCTGGTCGGGGTACATTGCGAAAGATGAAATATGATAGCTATTTATAAGACGCGTTACGTGCATGCCATCACAAGGTCGCACTAACCATAGAACCCTGACAGGGTTCCGAACCACGTACATCCACAAGGTTGCACGTATCCCCGGGTGTCACAAACCACGGAACCTTGACAGGGTTCCGAACCCCGTACCTCCACAAGGTTGCACATATCCCAGGGTGTCACAAACCATGGAACCTTGACAGGGTTCCGAACCCCGTACCTCCACAAGGTTGCACATATCCCAGGGTGTCACAAACCATGGAACCTTGACAGGGTTCTGCACCACGTACTTCCACAAGGGTGCACATATCCCAGGGTGTCACAAACAACGGAACCTTGACAGGGTTCCTATAACCCCGTACCTCCACAAGGGTGCACATATCCCAGGGTGTCACAAACAACGGAACCTTGACAGGGTTCCTATAACCCCGTACCTCCACAAGGGTGCACATATCCCAGGGTGTCACAAACCATGGAACCTTGACAGGGTTCCGAACCCCGTACCTCCACAAGGGTGCACATATCCCAGGGTGTCACAAACAACGGAACCTTGACAGGGTTCCCAACCCCGTACCTCCACAAGGGTGCACATATCCCAGGGTGTCACAAACAACGGAACCTTGACAGGGTTCCGAACCCCGTACCTCCACAAGGGTGCACATATCCCAGGGTGTCACAAACAACGGAACCTTGACAGGGTTCCTATAACCCCGTACCTCCACAAGGGTGCACATATCCCAGGGTGTCACAAACCATGGAACCTTGACAGGGTTCCGAACCCCGTACCTCCACAAGGGTGCACATATCCCAGGGTGTCACAAACAACGGAACCTTGACAGGGTTCCCAACCCCGTACCTCCACAAGGGTGCACATATCCCAGGGTGTCACAAACAACGGAACCTTGACAGGGTTCCGAACCCCGTACCTCCACAAGGGTGCACATATCCCAGGGTGTCACAAACCATGGAACCTTGACAGGGTTCTGCACCACGTACCTCCACAAGGGTGCACATATCCCAGGGTGTCACAAACCATGGAACCTTGACAGGGTTCCGAACCCCCTACCTCCACAAGGGTGCACATATCCCAGGGTGTCACAAACAACGGAACCTTGACAGGGTTCCGAACCCCGTACCTCCACAAGGGTGCACATATCCCAGGGTGTCACAAACCATGGAACCCTGGCAGGTAGATGCCCAAGCACCTTGTCAATGTATTTATTGGAAAAAAAGGCTGGGATACGTGCACCCTTGTGGAAGTAAATGTGTGAACACCCTGTGGGAGAGCAAAGTGGCCACCGGTGTTGCTTCATCATTCCATGGCGAGATTGGACATTCCAACGTGTCAATAGGCAAGTACGCAAGTATGGGAGTTACAAGCATTAATATGGAAGTTGAAGCGTGTGTGCCTCTCCTTCCTTTTCATCATTGACTGCTTCTTGCACGATCAACTTCACCACATGTGGTGGTCCTGTATTATGATAGCAACCGTTCGTCATCCTTTTTGTGTAGCCCAAGTGCTAGATAGTAACAACGGCGCCCTTCCATTCAACCCTATGGGCAGCCACGTGCCTAGACACTTGCCACGCAGTCACAGAAAGCACCAGAACCAACCAACAGCCGACCACTTAGGACTACAAAGACTACCATGTGTAGGCACACACTGACCACTAGGTTATCACCATCACCATCACCACCATCATCATCATCATCACACACGAGCAGGAACAAAGACAGCAACAATTTAGGAGGGGAAACAGCGAGTGAGAGCAAAAGCACGAACGACACAAGGACCATCAAACACACAAAACAATCAGACATGAAGGCGAACAGCTCGCTAGATGCCAGTCAACCACCCACACCCCCTCTA